AAAAAAAATAAAAAATAAAAACCCTACCATCTGATTTGTCTCACTGTCTCCAGGCAGAGCATCTCTCTGTAGCCATTGCAGGAGTCTCAGTATCTACCCCGGCTTACTCTAGAGTAAGCCCTTTATGGCGACTGAGTTTCAGGCCAAGGGGCAGGGATTTCTGAGCCACCCCACCCAACCACCTGGATTTGAGAGGCGAACATGGCGCATAGGATCATAGAGTTGGAAGGGACCTTGGAGGTCTTCTAGTCCAACCCCCTGCTTAAGCAGGAAATCCTATACCATTTCAGGCAAATGGTCATCGGAGCTCTTCTTGAAAACTCCTCGTTTTGGAGCATTTGCAACTTCTGGAGGCAAGTAGTTCCACTGGTTAATTGTCCTCACCGTCGGGAAATTCCTCCTTAGTTCTAGGTTGCTTCTCTCCTCGATTAGTTTCCACCCGTTGCTTCTTGTCCTGCCTTTGGGGGCTTTGGAGAAGAGCTTGACTCCCTCTTCTTTGGGGCAACCCCTGAACACTGCTATAGCCAGTCAAAAGGTTTATTTTTGAAAGTGATGCAGTAGCCACAACTCCAGGTGGCACGCTGTTCCACTGGTTAACTTCTAGGCTGTATCTCTCTTTAACAAGCTTCCACCCATTCCCTGTCCTGCCCCCTCTGGTGTTTTGGAGAACAAATCAGTCCCCCTCTTCTCTACAACAGCCCCCGAAATACTAGAAGAAGGTATCCTGTCTCCCCTGGTCCTTCTCTTCCCTTAGACTAGCCAAGCCCAGGTCCTGCAACCGTTTATTGTTTGTTTTAGCCTCCAGTCCCTTCGCCATCATCCTGGTTGCTCTTTTCTGCACTTTTTCCAGAGCCTCACCCTCTTTTTTGTGGCGTGGTGACCAAAACTAGATTATTCCAAGTGTGGCCTCAGTACTGTGGTATAAAGCAGTGTTCTCCCTTCTCGCAATCTCAATGCCGTCTCTTTATTGATGCGGGCCAGGATTGCCTTGGCTAATTTGGCAGCCGCAGCCGCACAGCTGGCTCTTTGCCTCTGGAAAACCACATTATGGAAGCCCCCCAAGGATGCCTTTTTCAGGAAGCAACTGGACTTTCTTGTTTGTTTGTTTTTTTCTTCGAAGACGTTTCGCTTCTCGTCAGGGACGAGAAAAAGCACCTCTGGGACCACCGTGAACTATGAGAATCCCTAGAGACGCATTGTGGAAGAGACTGAGACCGAGAGGGAAGCTGGAGCCCAAAGCTTTATTGAAGGACAGAAGGACTGAATCCAGGGTGGAATTTGGCCGGGAGGGTCTCCAGGGTGGTCCAGGGCAGAAGAAGGGTCTTTGGGTTAAGTTGGAACACTAGATCCAATCCGGGTGGGTCTCCTCATTGGTCATGCTGTAAAAACAAGGGTTTAGGTATGAGGTTTCTGCCCAGGACTGCCTCAAATGCTTCCCCCCCCGCCCCATCTTACAACCATGGAGCCCCAAAGCTGAAATTAAGGAGGAATGGCCTGATGGGGAGAGAAGGGAAGTGATGGGGCAGCAGCCCGCCCCCCTCTTGGAGTTCTGGGGCTCCATCACGGGGGTGGTTTCAAGCAAAGGTGGGATAGAATCTCTCCAGGATGCTCTGGGGACTTCCTGCACTTGAAGGAGGATGGACTAGATGATCTCCGGTGTCTTTTTTTCCAATCCTCACCTTCTAGAAGATCACAAGGCCACTGCTGAGACCCCAGACAAGGGCACGTTCACTCAGGCAGGGAGCATTTCTCAGAGTCAGAAATGCAAGCTTATCTTTGGCTCCCCAGGTGAAGCTATGGACCTTCCTGTCACCTGAGCATGGACCAGTTGTGGTCTGCCCAGAAGATGAGCTGGATCAAGGTGGGCAAAGGAATTCTGTCCCGGCCTCTCCTTCTCCTGGAAGTCCTTGCTGCTTTCTGGCTTCCTGACCAGGCTGGCAGGAGAACCACCTACGCCAACACAGTGTCCGGCAGCAACCGTTGAACTGGGCACGACCATCCTCCCGGTGATGGTTCAGGAGGTGGAGAAGTCAAGAGACTGTGGGAGGGGGATGTGGAGGACCATTGGAGCTTCCACAGAGTGGACATAGCTATCTATCTGGATGAAGAGTCTCACCACACCACATCACACCAAAGTTGGTGTGCATGCTTCATGCTTAAAGATCACTCCTCTCTTTTCTTTTCCACTTTAATTCTACCTTTGTCAGAAAAAGACCGAAAGCCTAGCGGGGGCAGGTCTAAGCAAACTAAAACCAATGTCAACCTAGAGGTGTTACCTTAGGCAGGACCCCTGCAGGTAGTCATGCAACCATACGTGCAACACTTCTGATTCTTAGGGCATTTCCAGTCATTTTCACACTTCGCGATACAAGGAGTGACTATATCGGGGGGGCTCTTGGGACACACCCCAGGCTTCTCTGCAAAATAGAAGATCACGAGGTCATGAGGACTTACCAGGTCAACCAGACCAGAAACACAAGCAGGTGAGATAATTATTGGAAAGCCACCTTGACAGAATCTTGCAGGTCTGAATGGACCAATCTCCCACTGTCCCCTATACAGGCTGAGCTAGTAGGGAGGGTCTTGTCTGAGCCTCTTTATTCACCCCTTGTGCAGCTTCAGGCTAGGCCGTCTCTTCTCTGACAGCATCTCTTCACCTAGTTTTCCAAAGTCTTTCACGTATACATTACACCAAGAGATTCTTCTGGAATCGGAGTCCCAGAGCAAGGGAAATTTCATCAGCCGAAGCCTCTCCGCGTGAGCAGGATGAGTTGCACCAGCTAGAACCTCCCCACTTCCTTCCTTGCAATGCACAACCGTTTCCCTCTGGGCTCAACTTCTCAGGGGCTTTGTAACTGGGCTCCTCTCTCTTGAGTTGGGAACGGGAAGGTGCACCTCCCGTTGCTACCCAGGAGGAAGACAGCTCTCTTTGTGGGTGTGGTGAGGATGCTGCTTGGCCTACTTTCTCCATCAGGAAGGGATCCCAAGGAATGAGGGTAGAGCCTTCCCTTGCTGGCTCTGCACACACACCTGCGGTCCCCTTCTCCCCAGAACAGAGGGGGATAGATAGGGCTTTCCCTCTGGACATCTAGAGGGACCCCCTTTCCGTGGGTTTCCTGGAGGTTGCCCTGAGGTTCTTAGGATCAATTCAGAGGAGCTTCAGGGAGCGAGGTTGAAGTTGTGAGCTGAAGAGACAGCACACACATCTGGGCTAATCCAGAGTTGGGTCCTTGGTGACTCTGGGACAGCATATGGCAGAGGGGATAAGTCATGCCACACCCAAATAAGCAGAGAAAACAAGCAGAAAACAATATCCAATTCAAGAAACTACCAAGGAGAAAACACACCACATCAGTATTGATAAAGGAACCTTCTAGATACAGCAATAGCGATAGCACTTAGCAATAACAGAATAACAGCGTTGGATGGGACTTTGTAGGTCATCTAGTCCAACCCCCACCCCACCCAATCAGGAGACTCTACACCATTTCTGACAGGTGGCGGTCCAATCTCTTCTTGGAAGCCTCCAGTGATGAAGCTCCCACCACTTCCGAGGGCAACTTCTGTTCCATGGGTTGATTGCTCTCACTGTCAGAAAAATCTCTCCTTATTTCCAAATTGAATCTCTCCTTGGTCAGTTTCCATCCATTGTTCCTTGTCTGGCCTCCAGGGTCTTTAGAAAATAGCTTGACCCCTTCCTCCTCCTCTCTGGGGCAGCCCCTCAAATACTGGAAGATGCTCTCCTGTCTCCCCTGGTCCTTCTCTTCTTCCCTAGACTAGCCAGGCCCGGTTCTTGCAACCGTCCGTCGTATGTTTGAGCCTCCATTCCCCTCATCATCCTGGTTGCTCTTCTCTGCTCTCTTCCCAGAGTCTCAACATCATATTTTTATATATATATATATCGTGGCAACCAAAACTGGATGCAGTATTCCAAGGGATGGTTCACTGGGCAGGGATCCTGTTGGGCTCTTTTGTCTTGCCCTGTTGATCCTCTGGGCCACAGCACATCCTGTTTCCCTTGCACTGGGCCGGAGAATAATGGCATCCGGGACCCATCAATGCACAGACTCAACTGCCAAACTGTCGGTCAGCTGAGACAAAGTGTTCCAGGACACAGTGAGATTCCTATCAGGTGCATACAGCTCATCAACGCAAAGCCACTACAATGCGTGTGCCAGAACAAAGGGCTCCCCTGCGTCCAGGGGACAAGATGGGTGGGTACTTTTCCTTCATGTATATGGCAACCCCACAGTAAGGTAGGATCAGGGACTCCCTGCCCCAGATCAGACACCAAGCTGGCAGGCCAAAGACACCGCCCGGAGGGACCTCAGCGGGGAGAATGGGTGTCCAAGGAGCCACGTTGGTCTCCATGGCTACACAAGTCAAACCACCCGCTCTTTTTGCTTCTGGCTTTCAGACGGTTTGAGATTACCAGCAAAAGAAAATCTTTGTAGCTCAGGGTTGATCTGAGGGGGTCCTTGGGGGTCTCTTGAGCTTAGTGGTTTTCTTGCAGACGTTTCATGACCCAACTAGGTAACATCGTCAGTGCTATTGCAGAAGGGAATGGGGTTAGTGGCAGGGGTGGGAACCAACAGGGTTACCTACCAGTTTGGTCATTTACGAGGTTCGGTGATTTACGATGTGCTTCCCTGTGCTGCTGGCACATGCCTGTAAATCGTCATCAGCCTGGTGCCTGGACAGCTGAGCAGAGCTGCGTGCAGAGAAGCAGCCTTTCTAAAAGCCCTTTTTTCCTGATTTTTTAACTGCAGCTGTGCCTCACAGGGCAGCTGAAGTTGAAAACTCAGGAAATAAAGGTCAGGTAAGAGCCCGGGTGGGCAGGTGGGCAAAAGCATCAGCAGACGTAGAACCGGTTCTATGTCTGCTGCTCTTCAGAGCTACTGATTCTACAGAGGTGGACAGAACCAGTAGAAATACACCCCTGGTTAGTGGAGTGGAGAAGGAGGAGGAGGAGGAAGAGGAAGAGGAGGAGGAAGAGGAGGAGGAGGCGGGGGAGAGGGAGAGGGAGAGGATGGACTGTGGGGTCCTTGATGCTCTCTGAGCTTGGTGGTTTTCTTGCAGACATTTCATGACCCAACTAGGTAACATCATCAGTGCTACTGTAGAAGGGAATGGGGTTAGCGGAGTGGAGAAGGAGATGACGAGGAGGAGATGGTAGTAGTAGTAGTAGTAGAAGAAGGAGGAGGAGGAGGAGGAGGAGGAGGAGGAGGAGGAGGAAGAAGAAGAAGAAGAAGAAGAAGAAGAAGAAGAAGAAGAAGAAGAAGAAGAAGAAGAAGAAGAAGAAGAAGAAGAAGAAGAAGAGGAGGAGGAAGAAGAGGAAGAAGAGGAAGAAGTGAAAGAAGGAGGAGGAGGAGGAGGAGGAGGAGGAGGAGGAGGAGGAGGAGGAGGAGGCCCTTGATGCTCTCTGAGCTTCGTGGTTTTCTTTGAGACTTTTCATGACCTAACTTGGTAATATCACCAGTGCTAGAGAGAAATGGGATTTGTGGAGGAGAAGGAGGAGGGGCTGATGACGTTACCTGTTTGGGTGATGAACTGCCCACAAGAAAACTCCCATGCTCAGAGAGCACCAAGGACCACACAACTTTATATGACATGTAAATTTAATCTTCTAGCGTGTGTGTGAATGTAAGAGGGTGCTCAAACCCAATCACCCCTCTCCTCTTTTCTCCCCTCCTCTTTTCCCCTCTCCTATTCCCTGTTTTATTCTATTCTGTTCTGTTCTGTTCCATTCCATTCCGTTCCGTTCCGTTCCATTCCATTCTATTCTATTCTATTCTATTCTATTCTTTATTCCATTATCTGCTATGCTATGCTATTCTATTCCTGTATTTCTGTAGGATTCTATTCTATTCTGTTCTATTCTGTTCTATTCTATTCTATTCTATTCTATTCTATTCTATTCTATTCTATTCT